ACACTCAAATAAATGTTCCCTGTTGCTCTTGCCCTCACCTCTTTAATTTTTTCTTGCCCTCACCTCTTTAATTTTTATTAATATTTATTAAATTAGCATACAAGGAATTAGGTCTCATTATGGGTCATGGCGGTGCATGTCTTCAATCCCAGCACTCAGAAGACAGAGGCAAGCAGATCTCTAAGTTCCAGGCCAGTCTGGTCTACAGAGTGAGATCGTCATTACAGCGTTTTCAAATGAAGTGTGCTTTAATAGGTTCTCTGTCCTCATTTCAGCCCGTGCTGTCCCAAATACCACTTTCAACCACTCTCCTCCCTGTTTCTTTTCCTCTCTCATGTCCCACGTGCCCCTTTGTCCCCCCCCATCCTATTTTTTTCTCAAGAACTTTTCATTAACACACTGTACATTTTGGGTACTTATCTGGTCTTTTGTCTGTCTGTCTTCACCATTTGACTGTCAACTTTGTTCATTTATTTATTTTGGTTTTTCAAGACAGGGTTTCTACCTGTAGCTTTGGAGCCTGTTCTGGAACTCACTTCGTAGACAAGGCTGACCTTGAACTCACAGAAATCTGTATGCCTCTGCCTCCTGAGTGCTGAGATTAAAAACATGCGCCACCACTGCCCAGCTGAATGTCAACTTTATAAAGAAAAGGGTTTGTGTCTATTTTGATTCTCTGTCTCCATCACAAAAACTAACAACAAAAATTTATTGTCTTTGTTAGGAAAAAATCCTAAAACGAGCTGCTCCGCCGGCGCAAAGAAAATCCAATTAGGTCAGATCAAACCAAATTAAAATGCCCATTGTTTTATTAAATGTGGTGCTCTTGGGTGGCCAAGTGCATGGTGGGGAGACAGGAAAGCAAGAAGACAGGAAAGTGGGGAGCACACACAAACCCGAACCACATGTTCCTCCTATGGATGCCCACTTCAATACCCTGTGGGAGTGGTCCTTACCCTCCCCCAGGAAGCGGTCAGTACCTGGCATGCTGGAATTTGGAGTTCAGATCAATGCAACTCCCAGGCCAGGAGACTGGGATGAATACCAGGGGCTGGGGTTACGCTCCCAACTTAACAGTCATGGCATCATGCCATATATGCCCAGGAATAATTAGTTGGCTGTAGTAATGCATGTCTGTAATCCCAGCACTTGGGAAATTGAGGCAGGGTCTTGAGTATATGGTCAGCCTGGACTACATAATGGAAACCGGGTGACCCTGAGTGTGCTGGCTTGAATGCTCCCATAGCCTGGAGCATTTAAGCAGTTGTCCACCAGTTGGTGGAGCTCTTTGGGGAGGTTTAGGTGGTACAGAGTGAGCGGAGGAAGCATGTCACCATGGAAGGGATTTGAGAGTGAAAACTACACACCATTTCTGGGACCTGGGACTTTCATCCAATGAACAGGATGTGGCACAGAGGATGGGGTGCACGTGATTGTGTGTGAGTTTCTGGCATAATAGAAAAGTAGTGTAGTTAGTACGGTATTCATCAAAATTCATGAGGTGCTGGTTTGGTCCCCAATACTAAAATGTACTGACTAGTTTGATGTCAACTGGACACAAGCTAGAGTCATCTGGGAAGAGGAAACGTCAATTAGGAAAATGCCCCCATCAGATTGGCCTGTGGGCAAGCCTCTGCTACATTTTTTGATTCATGATTACGATGAGGTTGGTTGACATGGGTGATTTGTTTGTTTGTTTGGTTGGTTGGTTGATTGGTTGGTTGGTTTTTCAAGACAGGGTTTCTCTGTGTAGCCCTGGCTGCTCAGGAACTCGCTCTGTAGACCAGGCTGGCCTTGAACTCAGAGATCTGCCTGCCTCTGCCTCCTGAGTGCTGGGGTTAAAGGCGTGTGCCACCACCAAACCCGGGTATTATAAGAAAACAGGATGAACAAGCCATAAGAAACCAGTCATGAGAAGCAAGTTAGTGAGCAGCCTTCCTCATGGCCTGATGGGGAAGCTTAACCAATCACATCTGGTTAGGGTGTGGCTGCCTGGAGCCCAGGTAGAAAAACCCCCGCTGTGCTTACCAGACCCTTCTGGATTCAGACCTCCCACTCTTGTAGCATGAATTCCCCCTTTTCCAATTATTGATGACCCTTCAGATGTACCAACAGTCCTGCCTTTAAAATGGTTGACTGAGAAGCCAATATGGGTCAAGCAATGGCCTTTAGCTGAAGAAAAGCTGCAGGCTTTAGAACAGCTGGTACAAGAGCAGTTAGATGCTCGACATATAGAAGAATCTACCAGCCCTTGGAATTCTCCTGTATTTGTTGTTAAGAAAAAATCTGGAAAATAGAGAATTGTGACAGATCTTAGAGCTAACAACAAGGTTATTCAACCTATGGGCCCTCTGCAATCTGGAATTCCTCTGCCCTCTCTGTTACCAAAGGATGGCCTCTCATAGTTATTGATTTAAAGAATTGTTTCTTCACTATACCATTACAAGAAAAAGATAGAGAAAAGTTTGCCTTCACAGTGCCTACTTATAATAATTCTCAGCCTACTAGGAGGTACCAGTGGACTATCCTCCCACAGGGAATGCTCAATAGTCCCACCTTGTGTCAATATTTTGTAAGTCAACCTAAGTCTATAATTTACCATTACATGGATGATATTTTGCTATCTGATTCAAGCATAGATACCTTAGAAAAACTGTTTGAAGAAGTAAAGATAGTTTTACCTAAATGGGAATTGCAGATTGCTCCTGAAAAAAATACAGAGAGGAGATTCTGTAAATTATTTAGGTTATAAAATAGGTTTACAAAATATTAAGACACAAAAGGCTCAAATTAGGAGAGATCGGTTACGGATTCTTATTGACTTTCAAAGATTATTAGGAGACATCTCCAGCCTATGACCGGCTGTTGGGGTAACACCTGATCTAATGATTCATTTAAACAAAACCTTAGATAGTGATAAAGACTTATACAGTCCCAGAGAATTAACAGCTGAAGCCGAAAAGGAACTGACAATGGTTGAGGAAGAATTACAGGAGGCTCATGTGGACAGGGTAAATCCAAAGCTTAGTTGTATTCTCATCATATTGCTTTCCAGAATTTCTTCTACAGGAATGTTAATGCAGAGAGATGATATTATCTTAGAATGGATCTTTTTACCACATAAACCAAGTAAAAAATTAAAAACTTATGTGGAAAAAGTCTCTGAAATAATTATAAAAGGTAAATTGAGACTTCGTCAACTAGCAGGCATAGACCCAGCAGAAATTATAGTGCCTTTCACTACTGATGAGATAAGAAAGTTATGGGAAGACAATGAACCATGGCAAAGAGCTTGTGCTAATTTTTTTGGGAGAAATTAATAGCAACTATCCCAAAAGCAATAGGCTTAACTTTATAAAGAGAACTTCTTGGATTCTTCCTCGAATCGTACATGATGCTCCGTTAACCAGAGTCCGGACATTTTATACTGATGCCAATAAATCAGGGAAGGCAGGTTACAAATCAGAAGAATTGAGTAATTGAGTAAGGTGGAACAAAGCCCTTATTATTATGTCCAGAAGGCAGAATTATATGACATTCTTATGGTGCTAAGGGATTTTAAAGAACCTCTTAATATAGTTACTGACTCGCAATATGCAGAAAGAGTTATCTTGCATATTGAAACCACTGAATTTATACCAGATGGTACAGAACTGACTTCATTGTTTATCCAGGTACAAGATATGATCAGGAATAGGCTTTGCCCTACGTACATAACACACATCCGATCCCATACAGGACTGCGAGGTCCTCTAGCACAAGGTAATGCAGAAATTGATCAATTGTTGATTGGAAGTGTGCTGCAGGCCTCTGAATTTCATAAAAAACATCTCATCAATAGCAAAGGCTTGAAGAGTTTTCTATAATGTGCCAACACCGATCTACTCCCAAGAGAATGTTGAACACCAAAGACACTCCACCTGGAGCCTTTCTTCTTGGCAGAACTGGCCTTTGGGCAAAGAAATGCCCATACCTCAACCACTGACAGAGATACAGAGTATCTGTAAATGGATAAAACAGGACTGTCATGTCCTGCCAAGACAGGGTAAGATAGTTTTGAAAAGTTTCTTGCCTTTGAAAATGGTATGTCAGTTACGTTAGTCCTTAGCCAAAGTTGGTTGCCTCAACATTGCAAATGAGACTTTGGGTGATTGCTCAGGTAGTCAGTTATCTCTGTCATTTGTTGCACATTTTGGAAGTTTCTCGATTGTACTTCCTGCTTACTCAAGTAATATTACTTTCCTTCTCAGATCTTCGATGGAGTTGAAGATTAGATAATTGCAATTACCCTCCTCATGATTTAGCTAAACTTAATTTCAATACATTATTTAGACTCCTTGAAATAGAATGCTTAGTAAAACTTTTGCTATTAAGCAATTAATAATTCCTTGCTTAATATTGTTTATTGCTTGTAATTTTATCTTTAGTATCTGTTCCTATTGTATATAGTTGTATTGGGTTTAGATTGATCTTGTTTAGACAAAAGGGGGAGATGATGGGGAACCTCAACCAATCACATCTGGTTAGTGTGTGGCCGCCTGGATCCCAGGTAGAAAAACCAGGAGATACAGGCACGCCCCCCCCCTCTCTCTCCCTCTCCCTCTCTCTGTCTCTCTCTCTCTACATGTGGTGCTCGCTGGACCCTTCTGGATTTCGGACCTCTCACTCTTGTAGTGTGAGTTCCCCCTTTTTCAATTATTAAATTATAACTGTTGTTCTTGAGCTGGTCTGGTTATTTATCATACCGACCGAATAAGCCAACAATGGCCTCTGCATCAGCTCCCGCCCCCAGGTTCCTGCCTTGAGTTCCTGTCCTGACTTTCCTGGATGATGGACTCCACGTTGTAAGCTGAAACAAGCTCTTTCCTCCCCGCGTTATTCTGTTGTTGCTGCAGCAATAGAAATCTAACTAGACACACTCTAAAGAAAAAACTACCTGTTGCCATTGGGTTTTTTTTAATTGTTTTATTTACATGTGTACACACATGCATGCGGGGCCTTTCTGAGGCCAAAAGTTGGATCCTCTGGAGCTGGAGTTGCAGGAAGTTGGGAGCCACTGACATGTGTATGGGAACCGAACTGGGTTCCTCTGGAAAGTAGTATGCATCTTAGGCAGCAAGATGTCTCTTCAGCGCCTTCATCACTTGCTGCATGTGTGCTACCAGGGACTGAGCCCAGACTCATGCCTGTCAGCCAGGCACTTGACCATTTTTGTTTTTGTTTTTAAAGACTTCTTTAGAGGTGGGTGTGGTCATGTGCCTTTAATCCCAGCAGAGGTATGAGGAGTTCTGTGAGTTGAGGGTTATCCTGGTTTCCATAGGGAGTTCCTGACCAGCCAGGGCTACAAAGTGAAACACTGTCCTAAGAAAAAGGATATATTTTATTTTATTAACTTTTACCTATATGTATCCAGGTGCCTGCAGAGGCCAGAAGAGGGTACTGGATCCCTTGAAACTGGAGTTACGGTAGGTTTTAAGTCTCCCCACACGAGTTCTGGGAACTGAACTCAGGTCGTCTGGAAGAGCCACAAGTTCTATTAACCACTGAGCCATCTCCCCAGCCCAGCTTTGTTGCTTTAAATGAAGTGTGAGCCAAAGGCTAAGATTTGGTGGACCCCAGTGTCCAGAGCCTGACCTAGTCAGGTAATCATGAGGTCTGCAAAGATGGCAGGCAGTGGCTGGATTCTAACTTGCACGTTCAAGGGCATGGAGCATGTGACCCAGGATGGTTTTTTAAACCTTCCGGAAAAAGGAGCGTGGTGTCCATTAGGTTGACGGGTTAATCTTGCAGTAAAGGCTGAGGTTTGGGTTCGTCAGCTTCTGTTAGACAAAGGAGAAAGTGTCTTCTGTTATATACACTCTTGTCTACTTGACTTACAGTCTGAGGCCCACACATCCTGGGCTGTTCCCCCGCCCTCAGAAACTCCTGTTTTGTTATACTATAGTCATGATGTTGCCTCCAGGAATGGCCTGTGAACCTGCCCACTGTGCAAGACAGACTCTGAGGCAGCCCACAGTTCCCCACCTCTGGGCCCTGGAACCCTTATACAATTCCCAGGCCTAATGAAGGAACCTTGATAAAACAGGACAAAGACCCGGGATGTGGGTGATTGCATGGGTACTACAATCTGTCCTGGGAGATTGTGACTTCTACTTGACTTTGAAAGAAACATGAACTAGTGCTGTAAGCTGCCCACAGAGAGGAACACATTTAAAAAAAGGCTGAGGGTTACTTGACAATCAGCAAGAAACCAAGGCCGTGCTAGTTTGAAAATGGATTCTCCCTAAGTGGAGCCCCACTTGAAAGCTCAGTGGTCCCCAGCACCTCCATTCCAGCCTTGCAGGAGGCCAAGGTGAATGATGTTGGCCCACTGGCCCATAGCACCTGGGAGGTGACAAATGTGAGCTATCTTGAGCTGGTCAGTCAAGGTGACTTCACTGTGAGGTGACTGATAGAGAAAGCACCCCCAGGAGGCCCTCGATGTCCTTCAACTTGACACCGCTCCCCAACTCCTTTGACCTAGGTTGCTCTTCTCCTCCCTCCAGAATGTAGCAGATACTGGATCAGGTGGAGGGACTCTCTCCTCCATGTGCAGAGAGCCTGGGAAGTCCTGCCCGTCATGTTCACAGCCTACCCTACAGCAAGAATACCATGATGAACGGGAGGAAGCCTCCAAGGGGAGGTTCCCAGAAAGAGCTTTTTCTCTAAAGATAAAGGGAATGTCCGTGACTCCCCTACTTAGCCCCTGATGGGGAGTGACTTAAGAATTCCATTCGTGGCCAGATGTGGTGATACACGCCTTAAATCCCAGCACTCAGGAGGCAGAGGCAGGCAGATTTTTGTGAGTTTGAGGCTAGCCTGGTTTACATAGTGAGTTCTAGGACAGTCGGTGCTACACAGAGAAACCCTGTTTCAAAAGAAAGAAAGAAAGAAAGAAAGAAAGAAAGAAAGAAAGAAAGAAAGAAAAAAAGAAAGAAAGAAAGAAAGAAAGAAGGGAAAAGAAGAAAAGAAAGAAAAAGAAAGAATAGAGTTCCATTTGTGAAAGTCAAGGGCTGACTGGAGAGCTCACCAAACTGAACACACGACAGACGATAGCATGAGCCAGTCTGATGCTCTCTGTGGAGCTTGAACTTAGACACACTGAAGCTTGCTTGAGCATGGTGATGCCCGTCTGTAGTCCCAGTGCTGGGAAGGGCAAGGCAAGAGAAGTGCCCTAAGTTCTAGGCCTGGGATGTCTAGAGAGAAGCAGAAGCATGACAGCCCAGCCTATAAAGAGTGAACTTGCATCAGTGAAGCAACGTCAAAGAAATGGGAAAGTGGGGTGAATGAGAAAAGAAGGAAAAGAATGGAAGGGAAGGAGAGGTGGCAGGGAGTAACTGGGCAGAAACACGCATGCACGGGAGGAGAGGTGACAGGGAGTAACTGGGCAGAAACACGCATGCACGGGAGGAGAGGTGACAGGGAGTAAGTGGACAGAAACACGCATGCACGGGAGGAGAGGTGACAGGGAGTAACTGGGCAGAAACACACATCACAGGAGGAGGTGTGGCAGGGAGCAACTAGGTGAAAACACGCATGCACAGGAGGAGAGCTGGCAGGGAGCAACTAGGTGAAAACACGCATACACAGGAGGAGAGCTGGCAGGGAGCAACTAGGTGAAAACGTGCATGCACAGGAGGAGAGGTGGTAGGGAGCAACTGGGTGAAAACACGCATGCACAGGAGGAGAGGTGGCAGGAGCAACTGGACGGAAACACGCATACACGAGTGTACACACACTCAAAGTGGCGTGGAAAACAAATATCGGGGGTAAAGTGAAATGGAAAGACAAAAATGGAGGCTAGGTGTGGTGGCACACACGGGCTATGTAGCACTGGGTAGGCTGAAGTAGAAGGATCGTGAGTTCAAGGCCAACATGAACTACACAGAGAGAGACCATAGAATGAAAAGAAGAGAGGGAGAAAGGAATTCAATGGAAACCGAACAGTAGAGTAAATGGGGTGAACCACAAGATTTGGAAATGAACTGAGAGTGCTAACAAAGGAAATAAAATGGAATTGAAAAGACTGTGTGTGTGGACGTGCACATGCGCGCACACTTGTGCACGCATAGGCGTATGCGCATGTGTGTGCATGTGTGGGTGTATGCGTGTGGAAGCTAGAGTCCACTTCAAGTTTGTTCCTCAGGAATTGTCCACCTTTGGTATTTTGTTTTGCTTTGGTTTTATTGTTGGTAGTGGTTAGTTTTGCTTTGTTTTTGAGACAAAGCCTCCCTGGCCTGGAGTGTGGGATTGGGCAAGGCTGGCTGGCCACCAGGCCTCAGGGTTCCCACCTGTCCCTGACTCCCCAGCACTGAAATTATGAGAATGTCCCATTATGCTCAGCTCTTCTGCAGGGACTGGGGTTTGAACTCGAGTCCTCACTCTTACATGACAAGCACTTTACCAGCTGAGCTATCTTCTCAGTCCCTAGAATGGAGATGGTTCTCAAAGAAAAGCTCTGTTGGACATTTATCCTACAGAGTCCTCAGCAGGGGACAAAGGTTTCTACCAGCCCAGAGACAAAGTGACATCAGAATACACGGCATCAAATTACCTCATAATTTGATTCTGGGTTTCTTGTTGATACTGGTGGGACCAATGGCTGCTTCGGAATTGGAATTGGGGGCAGTGGCTTCCTGAGACCTTCAGGAGCTACGGAAGGTAGCTTCTTCTGTAAGTAAGCAAAGAAGTCAGGTGGGACCCTTAGTCCCAGATGAACTGGAAGATGGCAACCTATACTCCTCAAAGACCCAGAGAGGCTGGGTGTGGTGGCGCACACCTTCAATCCCAATACTCAAGAGGCAGAGGCAGGAAGATCTCTGTAAGCTCAAGGCTAGCCTGGTCTACATAGCAAGTTCCGGGGAAACTATAGTTACATAATAGAGAGACCCTATGTGAAAAGAAAGCGGGGAGGAGAGGATGGGATACACCCAGCTCAGGGTCCTACAGACAACTGCAGTGGAAGAAGAGCTGGAACCCCAACTCGCTGTTCCTACATAAGGTCTTCTCTCTCTCCCTCCCCCATATCCATCTCTCTCCCCAGTCTTCCTCTGCTCTCTCTTGCTACTTCTTCCCACCCATAATGTGTCTGGCCAGCCCCAAGGCCAGCTGGAAGGGGTGACTCGGACGCAGAGCCCTGTGAGGCCTTGGGCTGTGATCTCTCCATCCCTGGAATTGTAATACAGTGAATCACCTCTCAGCCTTGATGAGCATAAAATCCTCTGGTCACATTTCCCCCCACAGTTTCTATAACTGTATGCACCAGGTCCAACCTACCTCATAGTCCTGCTCCGGAGAGACAGATGACAGCATCTGGGGGAAATGAGTTGTGAAGAAGTCAGAAGCTGGGGGTGTGGCTCAGCAGTAAAGAACTTCCTAGAATCCCCCAGTGAGGTGCTGGGGGTGTGGCACAGTGGCAGAAGCTAGTTTAGCGTGCTGAAGCCTGAGTTCAACTCCTAGCAAGACATAAAGATGATAGATAGATGGATAGATAGATAGATAGATAGATAGATAGATAGATAGATAGATAGATAGACAGACAGACAGACAGACAGACAGACAGACAGGCAGGCAGAGGGGGAAGGGAGAGAGAGAGAGAGAGAGAGAGAGAGAGAGAGAGAGAGAGAAATAGAGGAGAGAAGAGAGTCTCTGGCTATGGCAGCCTCTCATCCTAAAAGGTAGACACCCCGGTGGACTAGGGAGGGACCAGTCACAAAGTTCGGGAGCAGTGATAGTATTCGGGGAAAACTCACCCACCTCTTTGCCAATGGCCTTCCACTGGGGCTTCAGCTCATTGTCGAACACAGTGTTTGGCTTGCCTAGAGAAAGCGACCACAGACCAGAGTGAAAGTGAGGCCAACATAGAGGAGAAGGTGCTGGGTTTTTTTGGAACCTCCCCTCTTCCCCATCATATCTCAGGCAAGACTAATAAGCCCATTGCGTAATTCGGAAGAGAGGAAGTCATTTTGGCTGCGCTCATGAGCCGAGTGTGGCTTGCCAAGACCTCACTCTTGACCCTCTGTCATCCTGTTTTCTGTCTGCCAAATGGAGCAGGGACCTGGGCGTGTAGGTTCTGGCCTTTAGTCCAAGCTACTCTTAAGACTGATGCATGAGGATCACAGTTTAGGGTCTTTCTGGGCCCCAAGAGACTTCAAGGCTACACGGACAACTTGAAAGATCCTGTTTCAAGGTAAAGAAATTTTAAAAAAAAGAAAAAGTATACCTGGCATGGTGGCACCCATTTTAGTACCAACATAGGCAGATCTCTGTGAATTCAAGGCCAGCCTGATTTACAGAACAAGTTTCAGGACAGCCAGGGCTACATTGTGAGGCCCCGTCTCAAAACTACACACACACACACACACACACACACAAGAACAACAAAATATAAATAAATAAAACCCTAAAACATAGAAAATAATGATGGGCTCAGAACTAACCTGGAACTTACTACAATTGTCCTAGGCAGGATAAGGAATTGAGGGACAGAGCCCTTATCTAGCATATACAGGCTGTGGGTTCCACCCCCAGGATAAGAGAGACAAGAACAAGGTGGGAGAAAGAGAAAGAGAGAACATTTAAAACAAAGGAGGACGGGTTAGGATGGAAACAGCGCATCACAGGTAGAGCACAGTGTTCCTGGGACCCAACAGTGACCTGGGTCTAAGCCAGGAGAGTCCCAGGCTTCCAACACCACTGCCATGGAGTCATTGCATCTGGACTCTGCGGGCCTCTGCTTCACAGCGGTGTGTGCCGTGGTCTTGAGGGTAGTATCGTTGGCTGGTCTCTTGCGGGTCCTGAAATGTCAAATCTCTCATGATCTCCCAGTGTGGGTTCTTGCCTGTTTCCACGGGTGCTGTCTATATTCCCACACCCATCCCCACATCCCATTCCATCTGTTCTTGGGCAGTGACCCCAAATTCTCAGGGTGCTTGGGCAGGGTTCAAGACCTCGACAGTAGCCATGCCTCTCTTTCCTGCAGCTGGCCCTCACCCCCTTGCTTATTACCATCTGTCCTTTCGGCTGTAGAAGAAATAGGCCAATCCTATCACCACAGAAATGACAACCAGGATCCCGATGACAATGCCAGCAATGACTCCAGGAGACAGAGAGGATGACTGGGGACCTCCGCAGAGAGAAAGACTAAGCTTAGCAAGCTCTTCTCCCTATCCCCAGCTCCATTCCAGAGTTCCCGGATTTATCTTCACTAAATCTGAGTATATTGTTTTCCAGCCCCCTAGGACCCAGCAATCGGTAGTGTGAGTGGCGTCCTCCCTAGAGTACGATGGCTGGGGTTCGAATCGTCCAGCTGTGTGACTTTGGGCACAGTCCTCAGCCTCTCTGGGAATCAACTGTGTCTCCTGTATACAGGGGAAAGAGGGCCTCTTCTGTAGGGTTGCTGGAAAGATTAAACATGTTAGTTAAGTATGTTATGTAGAGTAAAGGCCCTGGAGTCCTAGGAAGAGATCAGTAAATGAGTGTGTGTTGGTGGAACTGGTTATATAGACGATCAGGGCGTGGACCAGGGAAAAAGATTTTGGCAACAGAAAACTGGCTCTCCCTCAGGTAAGGCCCCTTGACTCTCCGGAGCAGTGTGAGCCTGTGCAAAATGGTATTCTCTTATTGGCAATGAGGAAAGTGGTACCCACTACACAAGGTGTCTCAAGGATGAGAGGAGACTATAGGTGGTCATGCCTCACATGGAGCAGATGTCTCATAAATGCCCTGATATTTACCATCCATTTCTATCTCAGCCTTTTGTCAGAAGGATAAGGACCCAGGGTTGAGAAAGTGGTCCCATTTATGGAACTTCCTGGGACCTCTGTCTGTCTGTCTGTCTGTCTGACTCTCCATACATATTTGTGTGTGTGTGTGTGTGTGTGTGTGTGTGTGTGTGTGTGTGTCGACCTGTTTCAAACTCACTGCTATTGATTAACATCCCTAGTCCCTCAATGGTGGGTTACACACAGACACACCCTAGCCCAGAAATGTCCTTAAACTTGGAGGCCTTTGCCTCTCAAATAACTGGTATTGCATGCCTGCACTAAGCCTCTACAAAATCTTTTTAAAGATTTATTTTTATTGTTTTAAGAACTGCACACGTGTCTCTGTGAGAATGTGTATGTGTTCGTGTGAGTACAGGTGTCCTCAGAGGCCTGAAGCCTTGGATCTCATGGGGCTGGAGGGGCAGGCAGCTGTGAGCCATCTGATGTGGGTGCTGAAAGCAAGCTCAGGTCCCCCGTCAGAGCAGTCAGCGCTCTTGACTTCTGAGCCATCTCTCCGGGTCACTGAGGTGCTTTCGCCCAGAAGTCTAGTGCAGCAATGAGACTAGTACCTAATCTATTAATGCTAAAGACCTTTGAGATCAAGCAGGATCATGCATGAAACTACTAGAACATTCGAAGACACACTTGTGCACTCATGAACCTACATACACACACAAATAAAATAAGAAAAGAACTGAAACAAAAATGCAGGGTTTCTCTACCAGGCATATCTAGTTATTAGCATAACATATTAATACTATCAACATATTAACTGCTGCCTCCATCACCTCACTCACCTCCCCCCACACACACACAGGCTATATTCAAGATTTGTTGTCTCTCTAAACAGTTCAAGAATGTAGCCATCATAGACAAGGGTGGTGATGCACCCCTGTTTTCCTAGCACTGAGGAGGCTGATGTAGGATGATCAGAAGTTGGGGGCCATACGTCAGGTATGGTGGTGCACACCTTTACCCAGTCCAGGTCTTGGGAGGCAGAGGCAGCTGAGTCTACATTCCAGGCCAGCCAGGGCTACATAGTAAAACTCTGCCTCAAAAATAAGTCTAGGGTCAGCCTGGGCTACACAGATAACCTGTCAAACAAAAGGTAGCATCATGAGACTGGGGGGATGGCTCAGTGGTCAAGAGCACATACTGTTTTTGAAGACACCCCAACCTCAATTCCCCAATATCCTTGTCTGGCATCTCACAACTGTCCATCACTCCAGCTTCCGGGATCTGATGCCCCCTTCTGGCCTCTTAGGGTATGCACATTCATGAGCACATACCCACACAGCAACACATGCATATAAAGAATTAAGGGGTTTTTAAGAAATACCACAAACCCATCTACAGGTGAAAAAAAAATAAAGCTTAAACAGTTCAGAGAGGCTATTAGTGCACACAGTACAAATCCAGGCGATCTGGGCATGAGGTGTGGGATTCCGTGGTTCTGCATTGGAAATCTAGCTAGCCACTGTCATACTTCAGCCATGCTAGGGAAAGGCTGGGTGGATAGAGCTACATGGGGAAAGAACACGTGGATTCCAGAACAACGGAGCAGGAACAACTCACCCACCACCTTGACCAGGACAGAGGCAGACCGGGCCAGGCCGGTGATAGGGTTGGAAGCCGTGCAGCTGTAAATGCCCTCATGCTCCCGGTTCAGCGCCTCTATGCTCAGCTGCTCCCCAGTGTGCAATGCAGAGGAGCGCTCGTAGGTCCAGTGATACTTGGCATCTGGATTGGAGTCAGCCCGGCAATGCAGGGTCAGGCTGGAGTTGAGCATCGCCTGGATGGTGTTGGCCTCTCCAGATGCTGACCCCGGAGTGATGTCCACTCCGTCAGGACCATCTGCAAAGCCAGACACCGTTGAGTGTTCGGGGCCACAGGCAAAGTGACCAGGTTTGTCCCCTCCTGCTTTTCTGTTTTGCTTTGCTTGTTTCTGTTTTGCCTTTGGGGGGTTGTTGTTATTTGGGGCCTTTTGGTTTTTTTGTTTGTTTTCAGACGAAGTCTCAAGTAGCCAAGGCTAGTCTCAAACTCACTATGTAGCCCAGGATGATCTTAAACTCCTGTTCCTTCAGCCCCTTCCCCATGATTACTGTGACTGCAGTCATGCACAGCCCCATGGGGCTTAGCCTTCCTCCTTGGTTTGAACCAAAGGAATTCTAGCTTTCACCTGGAAAATACTAGCAGTTCTGGGCGCTGTTTCTTTCTTTTGTTTAATTTTTTTTTCTTTTTCGAGCCTGGGTCTCACTAAGAAAGCCCTCACTGGCCTAGAACTCACTCTGTAGACCAGGCTGGCCTCAAACTCACAAAGATGCACTTGCCTCTGCGTGCAGGGATTAAAAATGTGTGCCACCACACCCGACTTTGGTTTTTGTTTGGAATTGTGAGAACAAATGTGTCTTTACTTATGTGCGTGCAGGTGGGTGCAGCTGTTCTAGCGAGTCTGTCCTTGGGCGCATGCAGTGGGTGCAGCTGTTCTAGCGAGTCTGTCCGTGGACACGTGCAGTGGGTGCAGCTGTTCTAGCGATTTCATGGCCCTAGACCTTTTGTCTCTTTTTCCTTTTATTACATTTTTTTTATTTGTTATGAGGAGCATGCACATGGCTTGACATGTGTGTGGAGGTCAGGGGACAACTTGCAAGAGTTGGTTCTTTCCTTCCACTCTGAATCCTGAGGATTGAACTCAAGTCGTCATGCTTTGTGGCAAGCACATTTACACCCTAAGCCATCATGTTGGCCCTTGCTTATCTCGTTAGGGTCTGTCTGCTACACTACAATACAAATTGCTTAAGGACTGGGACACAACTTTGTCCAGCACCCAGATTCGTGCCTGTCATGCAAAAGGGTCTAAAATTTAGTGGTTCTCAACCACCCTAATGTTATTACCCTTTAACACAGTTCCTCATGTTGTAGTGACTCCCAAGCAAAAAAAAATTATTTTTATTGCTACTTCATAACTAATTTTGCTACTGTTGTGAATCGTAATGTAAATATTTTTGGAGACAGAGTTTGCCAAAGAGGCTGTGACTCAAAGGTTGAGAACTGGGTGACAGGATAAGAGACTAAAAGGTAAGGCAATCTTTTCTCTCTCTCTCTCCTTTCTCTTCTTTGGGGGGGGGGCGGGGGGGTGGGGGGTTACTTTTATCCATTTATCTTTCCAGATCCTAGCTGACCTCAAACTCGCAAAACTCTTGTCTCAGCCTCTCAAGTGCTGGGATTATAGGTGTTACACTGCTGCACCCAGGAAGAAGGGACTCCTTCATGAGGGAGGGTTGGGAGGGAAGAAGGCAAGGAGGAAGAGAAGGCCCAGGCCCCACCACTCACAGTTGATGGCAAGCCTCAGGGGAGCGCTGCGAGCGCGACTACCCCAGTTCCACACCTCACACTCATAGGGCCCCGTGTCATCCCTCTGGAGGCCATGGATGATCAGGGTCCTGTTCTGAGAAGACAGCGTCAGGCGATCACTGGGCCAGAGTGGCTGACCCCTCAGAAACCACTGGACACTGGCCTCTTGGTGGCTGGTTTTGCAGGTCAGGGACACAGAGGTAGCATTTTCCACAAGAGGCAGGATTGGGAACTCGATACTGGGTGCAGTTAATTTTTCTGGAAACACAGGGAGATACAGGTTCAGAGTCAAGGATGTGTCCTAAGTCTACATTAGCCAGGAGTGGTGCAGGCCTTTAATCTCAACACTTCAAGGGGAGAGTTATCTCTGTGAGTTCAAGGCCATCCTAGTCTGCATAGAGAATCACAGGCAAGTCAGTCAGGGCTGTATAGTGAAGACATGTCTCAAGACAGCAACAAAACTGAAAGCAACCCTGCATTTTTAAGGTCTGTGTGTGTGTGTGTGTGTGTGTGTGTGTGTGTATGTGTGAATGTTTGTGTTTGGTACAGGACCATATAGTACAGGGGGGAGGACACAGAAATCTTGTGTGTTTGGGGGGAAGAAAATGTGGGACTGGGGTATGCTAGCGACAGGGTGCTAATTTTGTGCCTGCTCTGTGTGTTGTGTTATGCGTGTATTGTGAATGTAAACTGTATGAGCAGAACACATATGCACTTTGTGTTACATACACACATACACACACGTATCTGAATTTGTGTTCTATATCTGTAATAGTGTATATGTTATGGTACACAGTGGTTCCTTATATGCTTTATGAAAAATTGTGTGTGGCATATATATGTATATTGTCTGAGTCTGTATATTTTTTGTTTTTTACTATCAAGGATTCAACCTAGGGCCTCCTAAATTCTAAACAAATGGTCTTCCACCCAGCCCCAGCCCCTTGCTGGGGGATTCTAGGCAGGGGCTCTACCACTGAGCCACACCCCAGCCCCTCACTGGGGGATTATAGACAGACATCCCATCACAGAGCACCATGTTTAGTGGTATTCTGAGACAGGATCTCACTAAGTTACACATACTGGCCTTAAACTCACTCTGTAGTCTTGAACTTATTTGTTTATTTGGGTGGTGAGATGGCTTACCTTCCTCCAAGCCTGGTGACCTCAGTTGGATTCCAGGACCCAAACAGTGAGTCCTCTGACCCACAGTCACTCTGTGGTACACGCATATCCACTCTAACATATGGTCAGTCGGTGTTACTGTGCATCTATGTGTACACGCGTGGTGAGGCACATTGTGGCATATGCCTGTGGAGTTGACTCTTTCTCCCTCTATATGGCTCCTGAAGATCAAGCTCATGCCCTCAAGCGTAAGCAACAAATGCTTTATGTGCTGGGCCATCTCCCTGCCAACCCTTGAATTTACAATCTCCTTGCCTCAGTCTCCCAAATAGCTGGAACTACAGGTTAATCTGTATGTATATGTTGTGTCAATTGTATGTGCATCGAGAGTGTAGAATAGATTAATACTGATTTTTTGGGGGGTGGGTTGAGACAGACTCTCTCTTTTATGTAGTCCTGACTGTCCTAAAACTCTCTCTATAGACCAGGCTGATCTCAAGCTCACAGATATCCACCTGCCTCTGCCTCCTGCATGTCAGGATTAAAGGTGTGCACCACCAAGCCCCGCTGATTTATATATTTTCTGTTGTCTGTCTGAAGTGTCTGTGATGTGAGTGGTTATGATTTGGGGTGGGTGCTGAGTTCGTGATGTACATGTCGTGTGTCATGAGCTGTGATATTTACTGCATATATGTTGTATGTGATATATGTGTGTCTGTGTTGTGTACATGTATATTACACATATATCATAAATATAAGTGACTAGGGCTGGAGAGATAACTCAATGGTTAAAAGCACTGGCTGCTCTTGCAGAGAATCTGGGTCTGATCCCTGGTACTCACACGGCAGCTCACATCCATATTTAACTCCAATACCAAGGGATCTGGTGCCCCCTTCTGGCCTCTACAGGCACTGCATGTGCATAATGCAAATCCAGCCAGACAAACCATCCACACACAAAAAATAAAAATAAACCTTTAAGAAAAATACATGTGCATTGGGTGTATATATGCTATGAGTCAGAGTCTACAGTGTGGTGTGTGTGTGTGTGTGTGCGCGCGCGCACGCGTGCATGCATGTGTGTGTATGTGTCTGATGAGCATGCTCTGCACTCTTCATTGAGCACAGCATGCGTCTGTGTCTTGTAAGAGTATGGTATATGCCTGAGGTGTTGTGCAGTGTGTATGTGTTGTAAGTTGTGTGTGTGTGCGAGTAGCATATGCATAGAATCATTCTTCCAGGATACGTGAACTGAGGACTGTGCCAGCATTTGTCTGTACAGACACACAACTTCTTCCTACTCAAAGAATCAAACCATGGACATGAAGAGTCAAGAAGGTGTTGAAGACATACCAAGCTGATGCTGTGTCCTTCCCTGTGGTAAGAGCCCTGCTCTGCCACCAGTCAAACAAAAGTCACCTGTCCTCTGCTTCCTCCTCAGATACCGGGGTGCGCGTTTGGATGGTGACTTGACTCTGGTGGTTCCTTGAGAATTTGACAAGTGATTGTTTCTTGAAAGCATCACCCAGACCCAAGGTGCAGTTCCACCCTGGTAACCACAGAATGCCCCCAAATCCCAGGTTAAGTCTCTGGACCCTTGTAAAACCTCAGCTTCCAGTCCCCCAAAGAAGCAAAAGAACCAGGAAATGAAACTCACCAAGCACTTGGACTTTGACAACACCCAGGCGGGACAGCTGGGTGACACTGTTGGACACCAGGCACCTGTACATGCCCTCATGTTCCTTGGACACAGACTGGATGGTGAATGTCCCCATGGTGGGGGGCTGGATGGAGTCAGTGGGGAGATACCAGGTATAGTCAGAGGCAGGGCGAGATTGAGTTTCCACCCTGAAGTTCACAGCTTGGCCTTCTAGCACCTCAACTACGTCCCCAGCGTCTACGCCTGAGTCCAGCTTGATTACTACAGGGTCAGGACCATCTGGGAGAGTGGAAACAAGCATGGTCTGTGTTAGAATGAGCAGCAGATCACTTATGGGGGCACTGTAAGTACAGCTTCCTTCTCCAATCAACTGCAAGGGAGATATGGATCTCATGGAGGTGGGTATCCTGGTGGAGGTGGGTATCCTGATGGAGGTGGGTATCCTGATGGAGGTGGGTATCCTG